CCAAACCCCACCCCAACCCCAACCCCAACCCCAACCCCAACCCCAAACCCAAACCCAAACCCAACCCCAAACCCAACCCCAAACCCAACCCCAACCCCAACCCCAAACCCAAACCTAGAGAAATTTAAATATTCAAGATATTAGTAATTTAGAACATTGGTAAACTTTATTAAATGTTTTAACTTGAAAAAAATTCCTTCTAATATTTTGAAAATTACTTTTATTCACAATTTTATTCTTTTAAGGAAAAAAAATTTTTGATTTTCAAATGAAATCTATTAAAATCTCTATAATTAGAATTACAATAGCTATTATTCAAGAAGTTTTTCAAATTTTTAATTTAAAAACTAAATTTCTGTTTTTATTAAAAGTACTATTACAATATTTTATAAAGCATAATCATTATAATACAATTAGAGTATTTTTGTAAGCAAACTACCTTAAAGTCAAATTATTATTCATATATTAATTTTGGCAACAATATCATTAATAGAAGAATAAATTTAGAATTGAAAATTTTTCCTTTTTTTAATATTAACGCTGGTTAATATAATTGTTAATGGTTGGGAATTATTAAATCGGAATATCTGCCTGCTTACAAATTTAAGCATCAAGCAAATGAAATTAAATGTATTTGCCAAAGGCATTATATCAATATCAACTAAAAATTAAAATTAAAAAAACTTTCCTTTTTGCACAACTGATTATGTAGTTCGAAAATTGTATGAATAGATTAATATGATTTACTTTTCTTAAAGAAATGAGATTATTACATCTATAATTTTTACTCATAATTATTTTTAACTAATTAATTAATTAAATTATATAACCAATTAATAGTATAAGGGTTTGAATTTCTAATAGTTTGTTTATTGATTAGTAGGGGGTCTTTAAATTTAATAATTATTCCACAGACCTTTAAGAAAAATCTGGGATGATTTCTTCCGACTTCATTGAATTAAATAATAATTGAAAATCAATTTATTATAAAAAATTTAATTCTTTGCCAATCAAAAGTTAAAAATTTAATTTTGAATATAGGTTAATAAAAGTTTACAAAGTGGGTTTGAAACATTTCATCACAACCAATGAAAAAAAAGGAAGACGCAAAAATTACCCAACACAATCGATGGAACTAACATTTAATTTAAAGCTCTTCAGAGCCCTACCATTGTTGAAAGACAAATCAGCAATCTCTTCTTAATGTAAGATGTATTATTTAACTGATTTTTTGTTCAAAACACAGGTTTGGAGACTATTTGATAGTCTGATTGAATTCTTGAATTTTCTCCCAATTAATAATAATCATTTGAATGAGCAAAAGAAAAAAGGAGCATTGTACAATTATTAATTGAAAATTCAAACATTACTAGGCAAATCAAATTATTTTTAAGATATATATACAATAAATCTTAAATAAATTTTGGGTGATGAATAATAGTATCAAGGTTATACTTATTGAATATAATATTGATTTAATAAACCCAATAATTTATTAGAATAGGATAAAAGCTAATAGAGCAAAAAAAATTGGAATTCTTGACCAATTAATCTTTTTTTTTTTGAAAATCAAAAAAATATATTTGACACAAAAGTAAAATTTATGGAAATATGAAATAAAATTATGTGGATGTATGAAAAAATTTGAAGTAAGAAAACTTGATTATATCCTTAGTAAACAATTAAAAGTTAGGTTTCTGCAATAAATTAGAAATAAGAAAAATAAATGATAAAAAAAATAGTAGAGGAAACAACTTCAAAATTTTTGGTAATCAATTCCTCTATGAAATGTATTAGTAATATATTACTTCAAATTAAAATTTTTAACCCTTAATTAATACTTGAGATCGACTGAAATAAATCGTTTTTCCATTTTGAGATCTAAAAAATAAAATAATTTATAAATTATCTTTCCCTCTCAATTACCTGAAATTTATGATAGAAATCACATCAATATTAGACAGCCAATTTAATTTATTGTGCTAAAATTGATAATTAAATTAATCATAAATGATTTCCTTTAACTCCAACAGTTATTTAATTAATAATACTTAATAGCTATCAATTAATTATTCAAATAATTAAAAATTATACATCAAATACTATTCAATAACTCAAATAATATTATCATTGTCATATTTTATTATCATTATTGATTTCATTAGATGCTTTTTTGACAGAATGTAAAAACTTCATCTTTTGTGGTGAAAATATTACCAGATGCAAATAATGGTTTTTTAATGTAAATTGAAAGTTAATAGACAATTTGTATTAAAGCATTAGTACTTTTCAAAATGAAATGTTATTTGATTAACTGAATAAATTTTATGGATCTAACCTTTTTCTTAAGCTTGATAGAATAAATGATTAACAGCTTATATTATACAATCTTAGTATTTATTCTTAACTATTAAGAATCACTAATGATATCAGTAATTTCCAAAAACAAGCTTCTTTATTGAATTAAGTTTTGAATAAAATTTATTAAACAACCAATTAAATTAGATACTCATTTAAGTACATACTATAATAAGTTTGATAATAAAATTTTAATTTTTTAAAATTAAACTTTTATGTAGTTCTATATTTAAACAAAACGATGAATAAAAAAGAGCCTTTTTATTTAGACTAAAGGAAAATAAAAAGTATACAGAATAACAATGATTAAAATGGTTTTATTGATTAAAATTCAATTTAGAAGTGCCAACTCATAAATATCAATCACACTAAATGAAGATAATTATATATAAAAATCAATAATTTACAATTGGACTTCAAATGATTTCTAGAATATAATGTTTGATAATTTTAAAATTGTAATACAAAAAAATATACTCCTATAATTTTACTTTTCTGTATTTTCAAGAATCTAAGATCAAATAACTATGGAAGGAGGAAAATTTACTATTCGAATGATAATTGAAAAAAATTACATACTTAGAAATGTTCTTTCCTGTATTATAAATATAATTAGATCTGACTTAAGATAGTTTATTTTCCATCTTTCTTTTTAAAATCATATTATTTATATTTAAAGTTGTTAAGTTTGATTAATAATTTTCACTTATTAAGAGTATGAAATAGTTGAAAGATATACAAAAAATTCATCAAAGTTACAAGTTTATAAATTATTAAAAAAAACTGTGTTAAAAATAAAAAAAAATGATTTTATCACTACAAAATAGTAACAAGAAACATAGTAAAAAATTCTCTCTATTTTTTAGACTTTATAATTTTTTCATAAGATTCTTTAAAATACAAATAATAATTGAGGTAAAACCTGCTAGTGACAAATAAATTCTGCATTTCAATACTTGAATCTATAATATACATAGAATAAATCAGAAAAATATAAAAAAATGGGATTATTAATAATTGTTTTAACATATATGTCGATAGCAATAATGGGTCATCCAAATTTCTGATCTAAATTCTTAAAAATAGTAATTGTTATCAAAAAATTCGAAAATTTACAATTCATATTCTTTTAGAACTTTATATTTTTGGCACAAAAACAATTAATTGATATAAGTTAATTTAATTCAAATTTGATTGCTAAATTTGAAGTTGATAAATTGAAAAAAGGCTGAAATCTGGTTAAAATTTAAGAAAAGCTTATTAATTATTTGATATTTTGTATTTATAATTGCAATATAATTTAGAATAATCAAATATTCAATTTTATTGTAATTCTTCATAGTTATCCAAAATTAAACTTCCTAATTGTTTAAATAATGCTTTAAACCAATTCCTTATTAATTCACAAACTCTCCTTTGTAAATTTAAGCTCCTTAGGCTTAAAATAACTTTTATTTCGATATGAGGAGAATAGTAAAATTGATATTTTCTAAATAAAATTAAAAATACTTACAACTTTCTCGAATAAAATTGCTTTAAAATTACTATTACATATCTTAATAACTATTATCTTTTCTTGTTTAAACATCCCATAAACGGATAGATTTATCACTGCTACCAGATGCTAATGACGTACCATCAGGAGAAAAACATACTGATTAGACCCAATTAGTATGCCCATTAAATTTGAATTTTTATAATCCTGTTTTAACATCCCATAACCTGATAGAGTTGTCATAACCCCCAGAAACTAACGTAGCACCATCAGGCGAGAAACAGACTGATCAGACTGTATTGCTATGACCATCTAATGTGTAATATTATATTCCTGTTTTAACATCCCACATATGGATAGAGCTATCATCACTACCAGATGCTAATTTTTGACCTTCAGTAGAGAAACATACTGAATTGACAGAAGAAAAAGGACCATCCAATTTATATTTTTATTAGCCTGTTTTAACATCCCACAAATTTATAAACTTATCACTACTACCAGATGCCAATTTTTGACCATCAGTAGAGAAACATAAAGAATTGACAGAAGAAAAATGACCATCCAATTTATATTTTTATTTTCCTGTTTTAATATTCCACAAACGGATAGATTTATCTCTACTACCAGATGCCAAAGTAGTTCCATCAGGTGAGAAAGAGACTGATAGGACGCAATCCGAATGACCATTCAATTTGAATTTTATTTTACCTGTTTTAACATCCCATAAACGGATGGCTTTTTCTCTACTACCAGATGATAGGAGAGTACCATCAGGAGAGAAAAATATTGATTTGACAAAAGAAAAATGGCCATCCCATTTGAATTTTTATTTTCCTGTTTTGGCATCCCATATTCTGATAGACATATCGTCGCTACCAGATGCTAATGTATCACCATCAGGAGAGAAACATACTGAATAGACAGTACTAGTATGACCATCTAATTTAGATTTTTATTCTCCTGTTTTAACATCCCATAAACGGATTGACTTATCTCCACTACAGGATGCTAATGTAGAACTATCTGGAGAAAAACATACTGATAGGACTGCTTAAGTATGACCTTTTAATATATTTAACATTTGTATTTTAATGTTCTTCCATTTACAGTTAAATAGTTTAGCGCCATTCAAATTCAATCCACTTATGTCGACGTTTTCAAATTACGATCCACTTAAATTGCATCTAACAAAATTAGCACCCACTAAAGAGGTATTGTAAACTTTAATATTTTCAAAATTTTGGTTTCCAAGTTCAACCTTCATCTCAACTAATAAATGTAATGAATTTGACCCACACTATATTAAGGTTTAATCAAAGGCTGTGAGGCGAATTAAAAATAAAAAAAATTGGATTATCTTCTACTATTTAGATATATTTTTAATCAGGTCTTTTTTTAAGTCTATGTATATTTCCTCTGAATAATTATATTTATTAAAGTTATGATCTTGTATTTATTAGATAATGTTAGTCATCTTCTTAAAGTTAATTATTCCTAGATCCTGATGCACCTTGAGTTATGCATCTAATTTTTTTTGATTATCAATGTTTGAAAGGAATCCTATGCAATCTGAAATCTTTGCTTTTCTTAGTATATCAATTATCAAGCAGTATATTTGTTCATCAATATCCTTAACTTAAACGAAAATCTCAGATAGATCTTCTTTTTATTTATCAGATTAATTCATTTGCTTTTTGTTAAAGAAATTATTAAATAACTTTTACTCTAACTTTCAGTTTTATACTAAAAATTGAAAAGTTATTTATATATTTGAGGATCAAAATTTGTAAAGAATAGGTGTCGCTTGTAGTTGATCATTAATAGCTTGGAAATCAAAACAAAATTTACAATTCTCGAATCTTGGAGAATTTAGAATGAATCACATTGAAAAAGATGAAAATATTAATAATTACTTTATTTTATGACATTTTATTCAAGATGAAATTTGATATTTGAGGTCTGTTTGAATGTGAGGTATGCTTAAAGTTTCCTCTCAATCAATTCTCTTAATTACCTATTCAATATTATAAAGTGATTTTATGCTAATGAAATAGTTGTTTTCACTTTTTAATTACTAATTATTTCAGTAAACAATGGTATTTGTATAATTTCTTAAAATTGTATATACATCCTGCAAACTATGATGCTTAACCCAGCACGGCTATACATATAGTATAAAAATATCAACAACGTCATGGTTAACACCATTCATCGCAACAACATTAGTTATAGTAACATTAAGATATTCTTTTTAAAGGAATGAGACAATGATAAATATTCTTAACTATAAAAACTCTATTAATTTAAATATGGTATATATCTATATTTTATCAAGTAATTTATGGAGTAAATCAAACTTGAATTAGCATTATTTCCTTTAGTTTAAAGAAAAATAATCGATAAAACTATAGGAAGGAAATTGATTCTAATTTTGTAATGGGGTGATAAGGAATTTATAGGTATTGATAAAAAGTATCAAAATGTATTTTCTTTAGGGGTCAAGTAGGTAGTAAGAAGAGGTCAATTGTCGTGGTTGAATAAAGTCTCTAATCATAAATGATAGAGAGTATCGCAGGTAATCTTATTGTTTACACTCCATCAAAAATGGTGTGATAATATACGTGATTTATACAAAAGGTATTTTTGTTTTTGCTAATGGAAGAGCCTTCCTATAGATGGTACGATCTAATTTTTACTAGTAAGGAATAAATAATAACTGTAATTAAGAAAATACTATCTTTAATATTTAAGGATGTTTATAATTTTACAGAGCTTAATTTTTTTTGTAACAATATTATGCCACTTCTAAGTTTAATCCATATATCTTACAAATTCAATATAAAATATAAAACATACTTAAAATGCTAATTTTAATTTTGGATTTCATTGAAATTTTTATTATTAATCTAAATATATTTCCTTAAAAAAGATAGATTTGAAGTAGATTATGTATTTTGATTATTCCTTTCTCTTTGCATAAGTGGGATATATTATCAATTATTATTGTATGAATATTATAAATTTAATGTAATTTTATCATTAATCTTCAACTAAATGTGTGTATTTAATAACTACCTATTATTAATCTTTTATTCAAAATCTAATTTTTGTAATTATTAGTCTTTCAACCTTTTATTCTTCTGAATCTTAATACACAAGCCTAATATCATAGAAAAAGTGAAATAATAAAAATTACATAATAGGATAGATCGATTATTATTATCTCATCAAAAGATAATATTCAGAATAACCAACCAGTTACTTTATTAAACCTAAGTTTCAGTCAATTTTTGTTTAATGTTTAACTAATTTCTTATTGAAATCAATTTTTAAATGTCTTTTCTATCTAATTTTCTCTTTAAAAAGTGAAAAGAAATGAAAAGATTAAGTTTAAATAACGAATTATTTAATAAAACTTTTTCAGGATTTTACAATTGAAAATTGATTAAACATTAACAATCTGATAATTTGCATATTATCAGAACACTCAAAATTGAATTGTTAATTTATACTCAATATTCCAAGTTTGACAAAGAATAGAAGTTAAGATAAACTTATGACTAAAGCATCATTTATAATTAGTTTCTGAGATTATTGATTGAAAACTGATTTTGTGCCAGAAAGGGCTAGGAAGTATAAACCAGATTCCAAATTGAATTATGATAATTGAACTTTACTTAAGATAAAAAAATCAAATAGAAAATATTCATAAAGCTTTAAAAGATGGATTAACATAAATTAAAAATTTATTTGGTGTAAATTTTAATTTTCCTCAAAATAATAGTAAGATAAAAAGTTTATTTAATATATAAATATTTAAATAAGGAGTATATTCTATATGGTTTTTATATTCTTTTCTTCTATCAATTAAGAATTTTACTACTGAACTAATTAAAACACATCCCGATACTGTCCCTGAGTTTCCCCAATTTCTTCTAATTTTTTTTTTTCCTTTTTCCTCCTTTATACTTTCTTATTTTACATTACTTTTAACCAGGTTTAACAACCTTCTCAAAAAAAAAAACTATAAATCCATGGGTTCTCTAGATTTAGGGTTGCATTAATTCTTATATGCAATACCTCGAGTTTTGCTAAGTTGAATCCTAACATAGGTAGAGATCATTTAGTTTCCTATCCTATTAATTTAAAATATACTAATCTTTACTTACCAGCATAGATCCATACAAAATCTCAATTTTGCTTTGACAAAAAACAATATCAATTATCTCCAAATCTTTTACAGCTAATTTGAATATATTGGAGATATCTCTTATTTCCTTGACACTGCAATTGGATTTGTGGATTGATCCACTTTCTGGTCGAATGAAGGAATTAGAGGAGCTATCAAATTTACAGTTTCTAATGTTGAACAATCAAGAGTTAAACTATCTTTATCTTTTTCTAATATCATTAATATCCATTCTCTTACATTCTTATCTTATAGATCTTCTATGATTTAATTTTAGATTTATAATTACTAGGATTAATCTTTTTTAATTTAAAGGTTCAAATTGCTCCTCTAAAATAATGGGTACTCTACCGAAATTACATTGATATAGAACCTGAACCTACTTTTCATCCAGCCAATTCATGGATCTACCCTTGAATTAGAATTTTTGTCTTAATTTTAATTTTCCAATTCCTATCTATTTTTGAAATATAATCAATGACCTACAAATTACACTTAAATCTTCTTAAGCAATGATAAAATCCAAAATTTTCTATTACTAAAAGTTATTTGTGAAAAAATCCGTTACCTTTTAATACATTATTTACTACTTAGAAGTCTTGAAGATACTGTTTATATTCAGAATTAGGCTTGATCAATACTTAAAATTATTTAAACAGATAAGTTTAGAAATCCTATATTTATCACAAAATATTACTGATTATCAATGCAATTATAATCTATAATGTTAGCATTTATTATTCACATTTCGAGGAATAAAAAAAAATAATTTTGTGTAAAAACTAGTTGAACAAATCCCTTTTTGGGTGATGAAGAGGAAAGTTTGAATTGCAACAAACCTTCAGGGAAACAGGGTCCTTAAGAAGATTTGAAAGATAAAAATATCTCATATAATAATTATATTCGATCCTTTAAAGGCCTCCGACAGAGATAATTATATAAAATAATTTATGTAGCACTTGCTCAGCTAGCTCTAAGGAAGATGAAATATGTGTGATGATGAAGATGATGTGACATTTTCAGTTGAGGAAAAGATATATGCAAATATTGAATGCGGTTATGATTCATTCATTTGATCATAATGAATTAGAAGAATTTGAAAATTAATTTTCTAGATTACTTCCTGTGATAACTGATAAAGAGAGATATTATGATTAATAGATAAGATTGCATAGGATGAAGGTGAACAATGTCAAAGGTTTTCATTCTAAACTGAGGATAATTTACTGATAATCAAAACCTAGTTATCGCATGACTGCTGCTAACTGAAATCAAAAATTGATAGTGAAGCCCTACATTAAGTAACTTCGGGATAGAATGAATGGGAAGCATTTTATCATGTAAATTTGATAATTAAAGTTTTGAGGCTAATTAAATGGATGAGATGTAACTTGATTTAGACATTGAACTCCAATTATAAATAATTGGATTGGGTGATAAATAGTTTGGGCTAAGTCAAACTCACACTGTATATCCTGTAATTATCTTAAAAGTAAAGAAAGAGACTTGAATTAGAGTGAATAGCTTTTACTTCATAGATTTGATTGGGTATTTGAACAAAATTACTTTGTTTCAGTCCATAATTAATGTGTTAAAAGAACCCTGATGTCAATAAGGATTTCTCCTGTAATGATAAATATATACTAAAATATAAGATTATTAAATTATAAAGAATTTTTTGCTTCAAATACTTTTTAATTTTAAACATTGAATAGATGATTTTATATTTCTTATAGATCTTGAATTCCTCAAACCATTAATCCAAATGCTTTGTATGCTCTGAAACATTTCAACTTAAATTATGAAATTAAATTGAATTCAGTAAATGTGAGAACAACATAAATAATATTATATTACAAAAGGTAAAAATCCCATTAATGTATTTATTAAATCAATAATAATTTTTTTTAATACTATAACTAATCAGATTATAGAACCAAGATACATATGGCTAATAATTAACTATTTCCTCCTAAATATTGAATTAATATAAAAAATTATTGTTGATATACTTTTATTCCAGTTTCCTTAATTAAATTCAAATCGTTTGATACAATTTTTAACCTTTCTATTTACTAATTTTCTAATACAATTTATTATATGCGAATATAGAAAATTCAAATTTTATTTGATAAGAAATTGATAGTATCTATATAAAATTTCAATTTTTTATAAGCATTCTCATAAATTGCTTAGATAATGAATTTAAAATAATTCAACTTTTCAATAATTTTAGAATCTTCAATCAAATTTATATATTTAAAATTTTTCATCATGTTTAACTAAGATCTTGAAAACACTCTGTTTTAAAAATATGATCTTCAACATCAATATCAATTATCAAATTTGTTCAATCATATTGATGAAATTGAAAAGAATGTAGTGTTTTAATTAATATTTTAAATAAATTTATCAATCATTCTATCAATTAATTGGAGGAATTAAAACTAAATATATTTATCTAAGGAGTAAATCTTTAACTTGAACTCAAAACAAATAATTTTGTTAAACCATCCAATTCAAATCGTTGAGATCTATTATCTAAACACTCATTCAAAAATTTTCAAGTGGACTTCAAGATTAAATATAAAAACTAAATTAAGACATAAATTTAAATTAATTGAATTATTATCAAGTGTCTGATTCAGATATAAAGAAATCGGAAGAACTATATATTAAAGAGGTAATAAAATTATGATTTAGGGTAAATTAAAAAAATAAGAGATATAAAGAATTATATATTGTTATGATCTAAGGATTAATTAGCATTATGTTGTAAAGGTAGGATTATAATTTAATTTGTTAGCTGGGAGTCTAATTGCAAGGTCAAAAATTAAGTTGACTAGTATAATGAAGCTATATTTAGGCAGTTAAAGCCTTGAAAATTGATCCAAAACATTTCAATTCATTATATAAAAAATAAAGTTATTTTGATAAAATTTTATAGCTGAAAGTCTAAGTATCCTTGACCAATATAACGAAACCATTATATGGTTAGATAAAGCTTTGTAGATTGATTCAAAGCATTGCAATTCCTTATCAGCTAAAAGTACTGATTTTTCAGAAATTTATAGATATTTCACTATAATTCAATATATTAGTATTAATTTAAAAAATGTTAAAAATTATGAAGAAGCCATAACTGTAATTGATAAATCCCTTTAAGTAAATCCCAATCATTTAGTTTCATTATGGTAAAAATTTTAGAAAATTTTCAATATATTTAGGTAAGTTACTATAAGAATAGAATTATTATTAATAAGCCTTGATGTATTATGGTAAGGCATTAAAGCTAAAAAAAAATCATTAGCGGCCCAAAGATAGGAAGAGTAATATGATATGATATTATTAACATTAAGATAGATACCTTGATGCCTTGAAAAAGAAATGAATGTGAATCATTTATATAAAGACTTTAATATTATTTCTTATATTTTCTACCTCAATTCAAATAGAAAATTATCATTTTTTATTGAAATATTAGATTATCATCAGAGCGATTATGT